TATATAATTTTCTCACCTGGTTGGGTTCTATAAATATATAATTATAAATTAAAATGAAAAGATAAATGTACATAAATATCAATAAAATAAAATAAATACAAAAACTACATAAATATATAAGATCCAACCAGATGGGTGCCCTCGGCAGGGGAGACCAGACGGCCGAGGGTTAGGGGGAAAGGGAAAGAAACCGGCGGACGATGCGGGCGGTATCGAGGAGCACCGCCTTCTGCATTTGAGCCCGGAGCGGTCCGTCACGGAGTCCCAGTCGCCTCAGATGACCCGAGAGGCTGACTGGGATTAGCCCATTCGCAGAGACGACTACAGGAATAATTTCGGTCGACACACCACCCCACATGTCGGTCACCTCGTGAGCCAGGTCCAGATATTTTGTTTGTTTATCTGTTTCGGCTTTCACGAGGTTCTCGTCATACGGAATGGTAATGTCGATCAAAAATATCCTTGACTGTGCCCGGTCCATCGGCACAATATCAGGCTTATTCGCAAGAATAGTCCTGTCTGTGATGATGGCTCGGTCCCAGTAGAGCCTGGCGCGGTCATTTTCGAGCACGGCTTCCGGAAAGTACTTGTAATTATGCAATTTCCGGTCCTCGAGACCGTATTTCAGAGCGAGATCCTGGTGTAGAATTCTGGCTACTAGGTTGTGCCTGTGCAAGTACTCAAGTACTTTATTTTCAACACTTGCGTAACTATCACATTTATACATAACTGTTCTGTGATCTACACCTAGTTCACAAAGAATGATGGAACATCTGTGTCTGAACTAGATAAATATATACCTGTATTTCAGATCACAGTGCTCTTCCTTATTACATATTAACAGATTAACATAAGTATAGCTTAAATAGAAGGTATACAACAGATAAAATGTGAATCTTAAACATAACAAAACGTGTTTTGATATAAATAAAAATGGTATAATGTGTATTAATATGTATCTTTTTGTGTATAATATGTTGAATGCATGAGTATATGTAAGAGGGTGTTTAAGTAACATTAACTAGTAGTAAGTAATGCTTCCGTTTCTTCAAAGTTTAACTGATGAAGAAATTGAAATAGTTTAATTTTGCATTTCTTTTTATTTAAAGAATACAATTCAGTCTTTTTATTGATTTTATTGTAAAGAAGTGGTCCAAGGTAATAAAAATATTTACTAACGAAATAATAACTAGAAATAGGTCTATTTTTGCAAACTTTATATTTTTTTCGTTTAGATAACAAGAGATCTTTATTATAAGACAAGCACGAATGTTGTTTCAACACTGTGTTTAGAATAAATAGTTGATGAACAGTCAGTACTCCAAAGGATTGATATCACTGAAACGTAGGGGAAAGTAAGGTTTTAAATGTGCATACTTTAAGGATTGCTCTTTGTGCTATTTCAAGGGTTTAAGATCGATTTTGATGCACCTCCCCACATAGTAATACAATTGTTCAGGATTGACTGAGCAAGAGCTAAGTATACTTGTTTCAGCAATTTGGGATGCGCCACATGTCGAAGATTTTTTAAAATAAAGCTTAGTTTTCTTAGTTTGGCACAAACCATAAGTATATGTTCACGAAAGGTTAAATTTTGGTCTAATATTACCCCCAAATATTTTATGGAAGCAGTTTTAGTGATGGAAGGACATGAACAGTAGTTATTATTACAGCAACTATGAGCTATTAGTGAAAGAGACGGCGTTGGTTGGGTAGAGTTTCGCATACTAAAGAAGATAAAATGTGTCTTCTCAACATTAAGAGTAAGAGAATATTGTTGTAGCCAATGAGTAACTAGATTTAAGCCGAATTGTGCACTTTTGTAAGCATTCTCCCACGAGTCATCAGAAAATAGCAAGACAGTGTCATCTGCATAGCAAATTATTTTACAATTTGGGATATTTAGCTGACAGAGGTCGTTTATATAGATAATAAACAAGTTTGGGCTTAATATACTGCCTTGTGGCACACCGTGTGTCATCGGTAGATCTTCACTAACTTGATCATTAATTTTGACACATTGATATCTATTAGAAAGGTATCCCTTAAAGAAATTTAGTTGAATATCACGTATTCCAAGAGATTCAAGCTTTTGTAATTATAAAGGAATGGAGACTGTGTCATAAGCTCTGGCAAGATCCAAAAATATACCAATAGTTTTCTTTCCCTTATCCAGATTACCTATTATATAGTCACTAACCTCATGGGCAGTCCATAAACGCATTTGCAACTGCATTTTTAGACCATCTTAACTCTATTAATTCTAATATTCAGTTTACAATGGAGTTAGAGGCAAACAATTCCTTAGCTTTTCTAGATGTGTTTGTAATTCGAAATCCTGATAACACATTGAGCCATACTGTGTATAGAAAAAGACCCATACAGATAGATATTTAAACGGTGATTATCACCACCATCCTTCACATTTAGCTACCATGGGTAAATCTTTGTTTCAGAGAGCACGAGGGATCTGTGACAGTAAACACCTGGCTGCCGAGCTCTAATTTGTCAAGCAAGTTTTGCATGACAACAAGCTTCGGGTCCCACGCCTACGTCACAATGAACGAGTGAAGTCGGCCACAGTCGAGCGTGTACTGTTATATGTTAGAGGAGTCACTGACAAGATTGGCTACATCTTGAAGCGCGCTTCCATCAAAACATACTTCAAGCTGCTGAAGAAGATTGGTCAGTTTTTATCATCAGTCAAGTGTAATGTCCCTGAGCAAGATGCAGGAGTTACAAGCTTGATTGTGAATGTGGTCTCTCCTACATAGGACAAACTAAAAGATCAATTAAAACCCGCGTTAAAGAACATATAGCTGATGTGAAGAATCGACGCTCCGGGAAGTCTGCAGTCTGTGAACACGTACAGGATCGCCCCCGTCATTACATCATATTTGATATACCACAAATCCTTGCTAAAGAACACTGATTCCTTCCAAGGATGATTCGCAAGGCTATTGAAACCAAAAAACATCCTAATTTCAATAGAGAAGATGGCTGGGTGCTACCATCTGCTCGGGATCCTATAATAAATAAAATTAAATTCCAACCCAAGCATACAACTGCAAGTCTTCAAGATACCATAAGTTCATACTGTGTAGATTGGAACAAAAGTTAAATTTTATTCTATGGTAACCGCGGTTAACTATGACATCTGGACGTTGAACATCTCAGTCCCGCCCGTGACCATGAGTGCTGTAAAGCGTTCGAAACGTCGGGTATTTAAAAAGTTAAATATACGCGATAAAATCCGTAAAAACTAGTATTATTTCAATGTGTAGTGTTCGCGTAAATATAAGAGTTTCGCATACTAAGGGAGATAAAAATGTGTCTTCTCAACATTAAGAGTAAGAGAATATTGTTGTAGCCAATGAGTAACTAGATTTAAACCGAATTGTGCACTTTTGTAAGCATTCTCCCACGAGTCATCAGAAAATAGCAAGACAGTGTCATCTGTATAGCAAATTATTTTACGATTTGGGATATTTAGCTGACAGAGGTCATTTATATAGATTATAAACAAGTTTAAGCCTAATATACTGCCTTGTGGCACACCGTGTGTAATCGGTAGATCTCCACTAACTTGATTATTAATTTTGACACATTGATATCTATTAGAAAGGTATTCCTTAAAGAAATTTAGTTGAATATCACGATTTCCAAGAGATTCAAGCTTTTGTAATAATAAAGGAATGGAGACTGTCAAAATCCCTGGCAAGATCCAAAAATAAACCAATAGTTTTCTTGCCCTTATCCAGATTACCTATAGTCAGTGACCTCATGGACTGCATCACTATTTGATTTATCGGGTCTAAAACCGAACTGGCTTTTAGAAATAAAGTTATTTCCTTCTATGTATTTGACTAGTCTTTTATTGATTATGCGTTCCATAAGCTTAGAGATGGATGAAAGTATCAATATAGGCCTGTAGTTATTGACACAGTCTCGTTTACCTGCCTTGTAAATTGGAAATACCATAGATTTTTTAGAAACGTAGGAAATATACCTTGAGATAAACAGTTGTTAAAAATTTGTGTCAAAGGAGGAACGAAAATGTGTTTGAAGTCCTTATTTGGTATGCAATCCCAGCCCACAGAACAAACATTCTTTAACTCTGTGATGAGTTGCTCAACCTCTACTACGTCAGTACTTAACAATACGAAGGATTTTAAGGAACTTGTAGTATATTCTTTGTCTTACTGAAAGGTTTTTGCATTTTAGTGTTTTCTCTGCTAAATCTCTCCCGATTGTTACAAAAAACTCATTTATATCACTGACTGATTTTTGCTCGTGTGTATCTGTCAATTCTCTGTCAATTCGATTGCTTTATTTTTAGGTTTTAATGTAGATGTTATTGTTTTTATTGCATCACAATATTCTTTTGTTGCGCTATCGTACACAAACATGTAAATTTACATAACATTAAAAAGTTTATCTCTCAGAAAAAGCAACTTCCATTCATAATTTCGACGACGTCTTACAAATTTTCGATCAGGTCACGTGTTCTGACGAGAGTTTAACATTTTTTACCCATTACAAAAAAGTGTACAACGCCGCTGAAGAAGTTTTCGTCTTACCAATTTTCGATCAGGTTGTGGCGGCGCTGTCGTCGCGCCGCAAGCGAAACAGCAAGCCTTTCTTGTTGCCCTAGTTTACGAGTACATTATTAGTAATGCCGTTTGTTGCATATTTAGGTGTTATCATGTAGTAATGTCCTTCACACTACAACAGTGTGTGATGGTAGCGGGAACATATTAAGGGTGGTCGAACAGTATTTGCTCTATACTGAATGTGCAGAGCAGTACGCTATCTCATTCCTGATAATGATGAATAAGTTGAACATCCGCTCTCACTTATTTATTATTTTTTTAAATTTACCTCTAGTATAATGTTTAATAGTAAAGAAACTTTGTTATCGAGTAATATTCTTTTATTTTAAATAATTTTGAGATTAATTTATTACACTGAGTAATTTTCTAAAAAATTCCAAGAACAATATGGAGGTAAAGGTGTTATAGTTATAAATACGTATGAAGCATTGTTTTATATACCTCAATGGTATGAAGCCATAAGCTGTGATATACAGTACCTAATTTAGGGGTCGTCGCCTTTGGAGTCGTTTACTCACGTTTCAGCCTTTTAACTTAAGTATGTATTTATGAAAAATGATATTTTTTATACAATAGTGTAGTAAGTAACAAAAATTATTTTATGTTATAAATAATTACGCCTGTCACCCAGAGTGGAAGGCAGAGACCACGAACTTACATTTGGCATGATCCTGACGCACCTCTCTCGCCTCCTTTACATCTTTACACCTACAAATTCGTGGTCGTTGGTTAAGGGTACTCTTAATTTGGCTCACTTAATATATTGCCAAATTGGTTGATAAACTTTCGTGTAGAGTGTAATGGGGCTTGAGATTAATTCGATTAATTGCCACAGTTTTGAGTTAAATATTAAACTGATTATAGTTCTTAAAGACTCGAGACACTCGCGAAGAAAGGTTCTCGAGTGGCAGCCTCGTACCGGTAGGCGTAGTGTAGGGCGACCCCCCACTAGATGGAGTGACGACCTGGTAGGACATGCAGGAAGTCGATGGATACAGGTGGCTCAGGACCGGCGTGCTTTGTGGCATTACTTGGGGGAGGCCTATGTTCAGCAGTAGACTTGTGAAGGGCTGTAATGATGATGATGATGATGAGTTCTTAAAAATTCAAAACGACAAGAATTGAATGATAAAGTTCATAAAATATGTTTTAATAAAGTACTTATTCTTCTTCAAGCCATGAAAGTTCACTGCTGGACATTTTTTTTCAATACGGGTGAAAGACGAGCGCATGCTCCACCTGATGGTAGGTGGGTGTAGTTGCCCATAGACATCTACATCTATTCTCGATTAATAATGCATTGTGTGAATGTGAGCTCATAGTCTCCCTTATTCTATAAAAAATATATTTTACACATAAAAGGGAGGGTTTGCTATATTGCCACACTTGGCAAATTATAAATTCTCCGGAAGCCATATTGACGAACCTATATTGACTAACTTTTGGGAATATTCACAGTGACATAAGTACCATCATTAATTATCAAGCTCCAATCCTGTTTTTAGTTTATACCGAATCTTTAACATTAGATCACTGACGTGGATTCTATTGCTTAGTATATAGCGCCCACATACGTTACCAACAGTTAAATTTAGATATGAAAAACACAAGTAAAGATATCATCGTCATTATCTTTGCTGCCCATCAAAGTCTACTGGTGATGTTTTTGCCTTAGTTGCAACGCTTGGCCGATTTAGAGTTTTAGTTGGGAAAAAACATTTTATTTTCATCACGTCTTTGATGCTAAATTTCTATAATATTTTTAAAATAATGTGAAATTCTTATTATTTTAATTCAACAACATTTACGACATAGTGATTTATTAATTACCGTGTAGTAGCAATATAAGAGAATTGACTAACCTAGGCCTCAGAAGAGGCAAACGAGGGAAACTAAACAGTACGTGGGCAGAACAGTGACGCCGATAGTAAGTTAGAACTCACGATTTCGAGGTGTTTTAAACTTTGAACCATATTCCGAGGTATTTAAAAAAAACTGCGCTTACAAGCGATTTATAAGCTCTTTTTTAGTGCAAGATCTCTTATTCAAATGATTACATAGATTTTCGTAGCAATACTATCATAGGTCTAGACAAATGTATGTACATTTTAAGTTAATTAGTTAGTTTTGCGTCAGCAGCTGGTACGAAACCACGCTTCATACATTTTGAACCTTGTACACGTGAGTGCCATATTTTTTGAAAGTTAAGTGGTTATTCTTGGACCGTGTGTGTAATTATTTGAGTTAAATTATTTCAAGGGTGACATTTTTAACATAAAACAATTAATTTTAGTATGAATTTCTAAATAAATCACATTAATATTCATCTTGCAGATACCGCGGCATTAGGTGCCAAATATTTCAGCTGGATATTTATTCCGATTTAAACCGCGAAATAGCGATTTCAAATACTTGATTTCTTTTTTGTTTTCCAGGGTTGTTTTTATTGATTAGGCCCTTCTCGCTTTGGGTTTAAAAACTTAAAGAGATAATGAATATTAAAATATATTTACTAGGTATACTCTTAGGTCTAATTCACTAATTATAGCATGTCAAATTTGATCCAACTGTGTATTTTGTTAATTCATTGTATGGGAAAGCTAAGAAGTGAGTATTATGTTATATTTACGAAGATTTTGTAATTAAGTATTGATACTTTTAAAATACTTCCGGAAACTTAGCTCTCACTGTAGGATTTGTAGAGGAAAATCTAATTTAGTCAACCACACCTCGTCAATGTTATTTATGTTATTTAATTGCATTTTTAAAAATAAAAATTTAATTGGCGGATCTACTCGTATACCTGCGGGGCTGAACATCATCATTCATCATCATTACAGCCCTTCACAAGTCCACTGCTGAACATAGGCCTCCCTCAAGTAATGCCACAAAGCACGGTCCTGAGCCACCTGCATCCATCGACTTCCTGCATATCGTACCATGTCGTCACTCCATATAGTGGGGGGTCGCCCTACACTAGGCCTACCGGTACGAGGCTGCCACACGAGAACCTTTCTTCCCCATCGGTTATCGGTTCTTCGAGCTATATGGCCGGCCCATTGCCACTTCAGCTTACTAATCCCTTGGGCTATGTCGGTCACTCTGGTTTTACTGCGGATATCCTCATTTCTGAGTCTATCACGCAGAGAAACTCCGAGCATAGCCCTCTCCATAGCTCGCTGAGCGACCTTGAGCGTCCTCATATGGCCAGTAGTGAAGGACCACGTCTCAGATCCGTAAGTCATCACTGGCAACACGCACTGGTTGTACAATCTAGTTTTTAGAGATTGAGGTATACCTGACGAGAAGATATGTCGTAATTTCCCGAACGCTGCCCAGCCGAGTTCAATCCGTCGAATGACCTCTCGGTCGAAGTTGGACTTACCTAGTCGGACTATTTGTCCCAGGTAAACGTACTCGTCAACAACGTCGAGCATAGTGCTCCCAACAACTACCGGCATAGGTGTGACATGGACATTAAACATAATCTTTGTTTTGTCCATGTTCATCTTAAGATCTATCCTTTGGGAGGCACTATTGAGGTCATTGAGCATAGTGCTTAAGTCCTCCAGCGATTCTGCCATAAGGACTATATCGTCGGCAAATCGAAGGTGAGTGATGTACTCGCCATTGATGTTAATACCGTATCCTTTCCAGTCCAGTAGCTTGAAAACGTCTTCCAATGCAGCGATGAAGAGTTTCGGGGATATAACGTCACCCTGTCTTACACCTCTCTGCAGTTGGATAGGTTTCGAGCTCTGGTTCTGTACTCGGATAGCCATCGTAGCCCTACTGTACAAACACTTCAGCACTTCGATATACCGACAGTCAACTTGGCACCGCTGAAGGGACTGTAGCACCGCCCAAATTTCGACGGAATCAAAGGCTTTCTCATAGTCCACATACGCCAGGCAAAGTGGCAGATTGTACTCTTCAGTCTTCTGTACAATCTGCCGTAAGGTATGTATGTGGTCTATGGTACTGAAGCCTTTTCGGAAACCGGCTTGTTCGGGAGGCTGGAAGTCGTCGAGTCTGCGTGCGAGACGATTCGTAATGACTCTCGAAAACAGCACGTAGACGCGGCTCAGAAGGGAAATCGGTCTGTAGTTCTTCAAGAGAGCGTTGTCGCCTTTCTTAAAGAACAAGACCACCGCACTTCTGCTCTACGCCTCTGGAGTAGTGCCACCATGGAGGACGGAATTGAAGAGCAATAATTGAGAGATCTGATGGACTATAAGTACCGGTGTTCCACCCGCTTTCAGAAGCTCCGCTGTAATTCCATCCTCGCCTGGGGCCCTGCCGTTTTTAAGGTACTGGAGAGCCATTCTAATCTCGCTTAGACTGACGTCCGGGATATCATCGGAATAGTGTCGGATAAGACTTGCTCTTGGATCGTTACTCACACTTGCGTGTGGCTCCAACAATGATGTGTACACCAGGGTACAGGGGCTGAACATAATATTCATATTTTTTTTAATTATCATAATTTTGGTTGTAGGATAATAAACACCATGTATTGTAGTTCCTACTATTTTCTTTGCATTTTAGAATTGTTTTGATGATTGAGAATAAGGATATTTATATCAGAATAAGGTGCATACAACTTCTTTACACAAATAATATAGAATACAGATCAAGAACTAACAGCCAAATCTATTATATATTTCAAGAGTAAAAACAACAATGGTTCTGATAAAATAGCCAAACCGTAAATACGATCTCCTTTCAAGTTTTAGTAAAAACACCGCGGAAATAGGTGCCTTTATCTTAAATCACAATAAAAACACTGAGGTTACTAACCAGCCTGGCTGCAACTATGGCAAAGAGTTGATGCCCCCTATGGCTAATCTATGGGTAGGCCTATGTACAGCCGTATAATGTCATAGGCCTTTCCTTATAAGATTTCTCAAAATTGTGCTGCTACTTTTAGAAAATCTTTTACATGTTTCTTTAGCTATATGTGAAAGACTATTTAAAATAAAATGTAATTTCTTCTATTATATGTAATGTTTAAAGTGTAGTGGCGGTCCACTACCTCATATCTTCCCGTTGATGTCGTATGAGGCGACAGAGGGATATGAAACAGGAGATGGGCATCAGCGTCTTCCTGATAGCAACTAAACATAACAAAAAGCGATTTGCGGTAGCCAACCCAGGCGTGGCAATTATGGTAAAATCTCGCCTACGAGTCAATTTATTAGAAAGGTATTTGTTCAGCAGTGGAATTTTTTGGGCTGCAATGGTTGGAATGGATACTAAATTTTACCGCTACCCCTTCTATTAAAATGATCGTTAATTTATTAAATACATGTAACCAGGTAACAAAGCATATTGATCTGTCCCAATGATCTTCCTTAATTAATTAATTTATGGCGTGATCATCATAGTTATTTCGTTGTGTTTATTTAGTAATTTAGTTCTATTAGGTGTCTCTTGGAAGAATGAATATTCACTAGAGTAATCGAAAGCTGTTGGTAGTGCCTTATATTATTGTAAGTTAAGGAACCCGTTTCAAAAAGACAGGGCTTGAAAAAGTTCCACTTGTATTATGTTCACAACAATGAATTCCTTAAAATTAATCCCTTGACTTTTGGAAGAAGCTCTCAATATTTATAAAAAATACCCGATAGATAGATATTTCGCTCTACCACACACGCCGTGTGCGTTGCGCGCCCACCAACTAACGCGCTCCCCCCAAAGATGGACGTTAAGTTGATAAATGAACCGTAGTCCACAGCCAAATAACTGTCGAAGCAGTCTTGGTCACATGGTAGTGCGTAAGTCGCGCATGTCACTGAATGTAGACGCCATACAAAATACGATCCAATTCAGCAACAGTGAACGCACGTCACACCGTTATTTTAACACGTCGAGTAATATGTACTCTGGCCAAAAAAAGCCCTCTGTGAGCGCCATCACCTATCAGACCACCGCTCCTGCAGACGTGACCTAAGTGTAAAGTATTAACATCAATTGCATGATCATGAGTCTACCGCTCACCTAAAGGGAATGGAGAACAACTAGTAGAAAGAGAGGTAGCACCAACGTATCTTAGTAACACGCTACCCCAGTAATCAAAAATCCATGTATCATAGAACTATTGCACTAAGAGGTGGAGTTAAGTAGGATTGATGTACTTAAAACCGCTATCAAACATACTTTTCCAAATCCGAAAGATAGCCGACGTATCGTAACGCGTGCGCTAATATGCCCTCCACAATTGGTAGGGGTGTTCGATATCATCGGACAAGTCGTGTTGTTATAACAAATCCTGCTACCACCTGTAGTAAGATGATATGCCTAGGCCATATCGGTTATCGAGTCCACTTTTACCCCGATCTCGAACACTGTAAAACAGCCTACATGCCACTATAACAATCTTTTTCCAAATCCCATTTCTATCAAAATAATATTTTTACATATTTGAGACCGTTCACACTGTTCGCGACGGCCTAACAACTAAGAAACAAAAGTGATTAAAGAATATTGATTTTGTATTAATAGTGAAATTACCGACAAAACTGGGTGAAAACGTGTATTGATATAGTTGTGTAGCATGTTTATAACTCTTAGTATATTTGTATATAATGTCGTTTTGACAAAAATCGATGTAAACAAATTTTATTGTATTAAGAAAATTCGACCAATCACAGCGCGTCGTATCTTAGAACTCTCTAGAAGTTTTTAATTAACTGCGTAATAGTTCATGCTGAAAATAATGAGAATAATTTTATGTTCTAAAAGAGTTGTAAATATGACATTGAATTAGCATATAGCTTATAGATTTAGGAAGTGTAGAAGTATTTTGTATAATTAAACGAATTTTGTAGTTATAGAAAAATCAAAGAATTAATGTACCCAAATATTATGAAAATTTGGGACATTTCGTTTAATAACCTTTTAGAATGTTAATGTTTTGAGTAACCCTTATGATATACCAATAAAGTACCAGACTACCGATTTGATGATGTATAGCATGTTAGTGTAGCTATTAGTTTTGTATAGAAAATATTGTAATTTATGCCATTTGCAAAGTGAAAAGTTTATGCAATAAAGAGGCAAATCTGAAAATGTAACACTAAGGTATAGCCAAAGTCTACCTTAGGGGCTCGGGACCCAGTAAAGAGTAGTGTGAAGAACTACCAGTGAAAAGCAATAGTATCCGGTGGTAGCTGAAGTGACTAGTGGCTATATAGTGACTATATAGTGAATAGTGAAAGTGTTAGCTAGCCGAAAAAGGTCGTAACTGATATTCGCAGTTACATATAGTGAAAGTGCTAACTGATATCCGCAGTTACACAAGTGATAAAATCAGCTAGTTTAGTTGATAATAGCTGCTAGTCAGTAGTGTTAGAAAACCAGCTACTACCAATAGATATTTGATACTACCTTACCATTTAAAGAAATCTTTTAAAATATACAGTGACCAGCCAATAGTGAACAACCTTAGTTCAACAACCGTGGTCTATAAACAATAGTTACAAATTTTCGCGACTAATCAATCAATCGAACCGCTGGGCACTACCTTGCTATTTGTATTTATAAATCGTGCATTTTAATTTGAACCTCAGTGAACAATATCTCAGCGGCACCCACAAAGACGGCAGTGAAAGTACCCTCCGGAACCTACAGGTGTAGGACGTGAGCGACTCGCGAAGTACCTTCGACAACATTTACTCCGAAGAGTTTCGCTCTTCCGGCACACACACGTTTGCTTTATTTCATATACCTTACTATCATAAGCTCTTAATAAAGCACTATATAATATGAACGGTAGACATATATATGTGGTAGTCAGCTAGCTGACCACGACATATATATGTCTAACCTTGTGCGTCTCTGGTAGCTTCCTTATAAAAGCAGGAATTACATGAACACTCTCCAGTATTGCAAAAACACGCTAAATAACTCAGAATTTTTGGACCTATTTCCCTATTACAATATAAAGCCTATAAATTTTATGTATGTTTATTATTATAATATGATTGTTTTTCTGTTATTAAATACAATTTAATGTTTTAAGGAGAGTTTATTTAAAAATTAATTCTTAAAGACCGTATTAAATCTTTACTGTCCTTCTCAATGTTCGGAATGAATGTATTTTACCTATATGCTTATTAATATAATTTTAGTCTTCAAAATATAACTTTTAAGATATTTGCAAGGACTTTGATTAGAAACTAATTATTTTTTCTTATTAATAATAATGCGTCGTCACTAAATGTGAGTTAACGATTAGTGTATGTCGAATAATTTGTATAAGTATTGTTTTTTATATAGAATAAGGGTGATAAACGAGCACACGGTCCACCTGATGATAAGTAAGGCCCATAGACATCTACATTTAACCCCGATTAAGAATTAAAATGCAGATGCGCTGTCACCCCTGAGGACTAAGATGGAAAGCCTCGATTCCAGTAAAAACGGGTCTCCGGTTCTCTACACTCACCATACGAAACACAGCAGCATTAAGCTGCTATTTCACGCTGGTATTCTGTGAGAGCGTGGTCCTTCCATGGTCGAACCGACCCATTCATGCTACAACCATAATATAGCTGCAGCGCGGCTCTACGACGTATAAAAAATGTTGTCCTGTTTTTAATCAAACTTTAAAGGTTTGCTAGGTTATTTACACAGAAAGATAATTCTATGCAATTCTTTCTATATGCTAACTTTGTAATTGTGTCGTTTATACAGAAAATGGGCAGCAACTATGCTGGGCTTCCGCCAATGGACTGGTCGCAGTATGACACGTTCCACGGGGACTTCGAGAAGTGCTCGCTGCTTACAGCCGCGCTCGCACACCTTGGCTTCTACATGTTAATGTTCCTTGGTTTCATCAACAGCTTTCTGTTTACGCCGAAAGTGGCCACTGAGCGGAACCGAGAGGTACGCACGTTGCGCTTTCTAATTTATTTATTCTTTATTGTAACGCCTTCCAACTAAGGTAACAATGGGCTGACTTAATGCCTTTCAGCATTCTCTGCCTGTCAACTCGTAGCGTTGCGGCCTAATGTGGTGGGTAAAAACTAAAAATATATATGTATGTCATTACAAACTATATATACGACATAAAATCATTGTTGTCATGAAATAATGTCTTGTTTTATAAGGTGTCCCTTAAACGAACATATGTTTTAGCTTTTCAAATATCTTCGGGTAAGAGATTCCAGAGTAGAGTATAACAGTAAACGACTTCCTAGAGAATCTAGTGAAATGAGTTGGAACACTCATTTTATGATGACTTTTATAGAATAAGTGTGACGAACAAGCACACAGTCCACCTGGTGGCAAGCAGATGCTGTGGCCCATAGACAACATTTATTTACAATTAAAAATTAAAATGCTGATGCGTTGCCAGCCCCTGAGATGAAATGCCTCGTTTCCAGTAAAAAGGATCTCCAGTTCTCTACACTCACCATACAAAACACAGCATCGTTAAGCTACTATTTCATGCTGGTATTCTGTGAGAGCGTGGTCCTCTCCGGTCGAGCCGACTCATTCATGCTACAACTACACTACTAATATAATTGCAGCATGGCTCTACCACTTATAAAATCCTAAAATGTTTAATCACTTGATGTAATACTTAAATTAATAAAGTTTACACTTATCTTTATATATGCCTCTCCCAAGGGATATCACAAAGCACTGTCTTGAGCCACCTGTAACCATCGACTTACCGCATTTCTTACCAGGTCGCTAATCCATCTAGTTAGGGACTGTCTTACAACTTACCGATACGAAGCAGCCACTCGACAACTTTTCTTCCCCATCGGTTGTAGGTTCTTCGGGTTATATGACCGGCCCATGATTCTGGTTCTACTGCGGTTATCCTCATTATTAAGTTTTTAAGCCCAAAGAAACTCGGCGCATAGTCCTCTACATAGCTCGTTGAGTAACATTAACCTTCTTTCTACGGCTAGCATTGAAAGTCTACGTCTCAGATCCGTGTCGTTACCACTGGTAACACACACTGGCTGTGTTCAGCAGTGGAATTTTGATGGGCTGTAGTGATGATAATAATGAAAAAGACGACGGAACTTTTCTTAAAAAATTATTCAGTCTTGCAGAGGCGTTTTAGTTACAGCTTATATACGTCCCACTGCTGGCATGCTGGCGAACTTCACATGCCTTCGAAATATTTGTTTTCTTATTTCTCAGACATGCAGGTTTCCTCACGATCTTTACCTCCACACCGTCGAGCACGTGGAAAATCAGCACTTAAAAGTGCCAGCGGGAATAGAACCCAGGTTGCTCGCGTGTTGTGAATTTACAACGAGCGCTAACCATCTGAGCTCTCTCAGAATCATTAACTGTTCACAATTTATTTCACAAAATAGAAGATACTAAACAAAAAGCAACCATTTTGATCGTTATTACTTTTATCGTACTTATAAAAATACGTAGGAAGTTGCTTCTACAAAATTTGCATGTTTGACTGACAAAATCATCTTCTTTTTTGATAACATATATTTTTATGATTGTATTAATAATAACTACCATAATATAGTTACCATAAGGAACTGTTTTTTTTTGTTTTTGGTTATGTTCATAATCACAAAGCATGAAAATTTTATGTTTACGTGTAATACTATTATTTAATTGCTCACAATTAGCATATTTTGTGTGTTGTACTTGAACACTGACAAGTTTGAGTCAGCATGCGGTCTGAAAGTTCCGCAAATTCTTAAAATTATATTCAAGTTAAAGTTTACACAACCCAGAAGGTAATTCAGTGTTTATTTCTTGCTATTGTTCATTGTGGTTTCTTTGCTCCTAATTAAAAGATAAACTGAACTTTACAAAGTTTGTATTGTTCAGTTAACCTTTTCCTGCCTGTCTACATCACAGTTGGTTCTTTAACTCTAAATTTAAGTTTGTAATCGAAAATAAATATTCCTTTATTTGATATATCTAAGTTTTCTTTCTAGTTTTTTTTTGCTTGCGCTAAGGGAGCTTTCTTTTTGCCAAATTTCATTATTCCAGGTCAATTCATAACAACCAAAACCAAAAATATGTAACTTAAAGATAAATTCCGAGTTACCTCAGAATTTGATAATTATTTTTACTACTCTGCTATTCGTACAGCTACCCGATTCCTGAAAAAGGCCCTTGACAGACAGACGGACGACAAAGTGTTTTTGTAAGGATTACCTTTTTAGGGAACCCTAAAAGTAAGTAAATTAAACGTAAACTACTTTTATTCAGCTTTTTGTAAATTGGACCTGGATTTGTTTTGGCCAACTACATAGCTTGATTTTATTAAGGACGAAGAAAGAGATGCTCTTGACTAAATTTAAACAACTTCCGGAGTCTAAACGTGAATGAAGCTAGTGAACCTGATGGTGTACTAGCTATAATTCTAAATTTTTGTCCACCTGAGTTGTCACCAGTGCTGACAAGCTTGTTCCGCTTTTCATTTAGGAGCAGTGCCAAATTCCTGGCAGCGTGCAGGCTGTTCCAAACAGAGGCAGCCGTGCCGACCCTGCCAATTAACGGCCACTCTCATTCACCTCCATACTTTGTAAGATTACGAAGTTTATATTAAACGCCAAACTCATAGCATATCTAGAACATTATAACCTCATCAGTGACCGCCATTACAGATTTAGTTCAGTTGGGGATACTATTAGGCATGGCATATTAATCCTTACAAACGAATATTACTTCATCATCAAAACAATTTTATGAAAATAAGCTTTACTCTTTATGGCGTGTTATTTTAACGTATAGTATAAAAAATAATGTAAAACTAAAATAATTCCACACTCGACTCGAATGACGCATAAACTCTAGACATCTGATGAGAACCGAGAGAAAAAGCGGTAAATGTTTCTATGGGCGAGGTTAGTTATCGCCAAGCTAATTAAAAACTAAAAACAATAAGAGATTTTTTATAGCATATGTACGTAATAGAGCAAAGACCTTTCATTTTGACGTTCATATAACCTATGTTTACTCTTATGGACTCCTATTGTCACCCATTCATTAAATGACTTGCGATTGTTATAGTTTTATTCAATGTGTAGTGTTCGCGTAACTTTAAGAGGTTATTATGAGTAAAATGGTAGATAAATATAAATGTTAGGATAAAAATTATGGGGCCCAGTCCGTCTGGGAAGATATTAACTACCCTCTACCCAGGTTTGTAGTTTTTATCGACAAGTGGCTGTGCGTACTCTGTTGTGTTCCATTCTGAGGAGTATAGAGAACCAACATAATTACAGGATATTTCATTTTAGTCCTCAGAGCTGACAAAACGCTTGTAGCCTCGTTTGCTAAAAATTGGCTGTAGGTGACCATAGGCTGCAGCAGCCACTTTCCATCACATCACAGTAACTTCAATGACCACTTTAATGTTGTAAAAAACATCAGAGCTAACCTAGCTTATCGCATTTCGTGGTCATAATCGCCTCGAAATTCCAGTAATTTCACATCTTTTACTTTGTTTTTATATAATTTGGATAAACTCATTTACATGCTTCACAATATTTATTTAACCTTTAAGTACCGATGTGGGGCCTGTCAGGCCGAAGCAGGTAGTAACGTTGTTAGTATTACCCCTTCCCCGCTTAGGGGAAATCCCCGCCCCTCAGTAGCTGCAAGTTTAGTTGCACCGACGCCGTAGATTGTGTGTTATTGCCGGTGGACGCGATTGTGGTAAGTTATGTCAATTTAAAATTACAATTCTCAGGCCCAACGTCGGTACTTACGTTAGTTTTTTGTCTAAATGTGTTTTGAGTTGCAATGCTTATTTTCAGATAAAGCTGCTGATTTGAAAAATGAATGCACCGGGGATGTCGAGTTTTTTTTTTTATAGAAGAAGGGGTAAACGAGCATGCGGCTCACCTGATGTTAAGTGACTACCGCCGCCCATGATCAACCGCAACACCAGGAGAATTGCGGGTGCGTTGCCAGCCCTTTAAAAAGGAGTAAGCTCTTTTCTTGAAGGTCCCCAGGTCGTATCGGTCCGGAAAAATCGCCGGTGGTAAACTATTCCACAGAGAGGTTGTACGCGGAAGAAAACTCCTTGTGAAACGTACAGTGGTGGACCGCCAAGCATCCAGATGGTGTGGATGGTATCGGGACGTTTGACGTGTAGTGCGTTCACGAAATTTGGCGGCTGGGATTAATCCGAACAATTCCTCAGAGCACTCCCCGTGATAGATGCGATAAAATACGCAAAGAGATGCAACATCTCTTCGCAGCGCCAGTGAATCGAGCCGATCGGAAAGCACTCGGTCGTCGACGATTCGAGCCGCTCTGCGCTGGATGCGGTCAAGTGAAAGAAGCTGGTACTGGGGAGCCCCAGCCCAGAGATGGGAACAGTATTCCATGTGCGGCCGAACCTGTGCCTTGTAAAGTTGCAGGCGGTGTGCCGGCATGAAATACTGTCCCGCTCTGCTGAGCACGCCAAGCTTTTTAGAGGCCAATTTGGCCTTCCCTTCCAAGTGACCACGAAACTGCACGTCACTCGATATGTCGACGCCGAGGATTCCGATACTGGCTGAGGCAACAAGGGGAGTGCCTTGAAACTGAGGGGATACGACAATGGGGTTCTTTTTAGCGGTTAACACGCAAACTTGTGTCTTCTGGGGGTTAAACTGGACTAGATTTAGTCGCCCCCAATCCGAGACTCTGTCCAGCAGAGACTCGACTTCAGACACAAGTTGGTCCCGGCACTCGAAGACGTTTTCCCGAGAAATATTGGCTCGGCCGGTGTAAAGAGCATCACCAGTGCATAGCAATGAATGCTACGGGTATGCAACATGTCATTGATGTGCAGAAGAAACAGCGTTGGCGATAGCACGCAACCCTGTGAAACACCAGCATTAATAAGCTTGCAATCGGAGCTTGCCCCGTCTACAACGACCTTGATGCTCCGA